TTTCGAGAAACGGGCCCCAGGGCCCTTATGGAGACCAGCCTTAGAGCTGAATGGGCTATCCTGTTTAAATAAAGTTTTACTTTACTTTTTTACTTTAAAGATCAGCAGGGAGCATTTCTTGGAATGCTCCCAGCTCGGCGATCCCCCTCTCCCCATATAAGGGCTTTGGGGGATCCGGAATCCAAGTTTCTCTGACAAAGAATCCGGAATCCAGTACCTTGAATCCGGAATCCACAGCGTGGAATTCCTTGGATTCACTAACATGGGGAGAGATCAGTGGCGGATCCAGGGAGGGGCTCGGGGGGCCCGGGCTCCCCCGCTTATTGTTAGACGAAACTAAGGCCCGAAGGGCCGAAAAAGGTTTTTTTGGAGACCTGCACCTCCTAGTCTCAGGGTCTGGATGACTGCCCCCCCTCCCCCTCCCCCTCCCCCCTTATCTCAAGGTCTGGGTCCGGCACTGGCGATCTCCCAGTTTATCAGCTTTAAAGTAGAATTAAATCAGTGAAAACAGTGAAGACCAATAGGAATGCTCCTGGTTAATATTTGCTGTTTTCCTTTTTGATCATACATCATGCCAATTCTCAAGTACTGGGCCACTAAGGAGAGAAGCTACAAAATGCGGAAATCTGATGCAGTGATCTCTTGATCGTTGTAAGTACAACAAATTAAATCATTAAGCAGCTTTATCGGTTTGCTTTCTATTAGGAATAGTCCTATATTCTGCAACAAAACTTTGTTGAGTGTCTTAACGTCTGGCCATGGATGATTATAATCGATCATTCCGCTTCGGTTCGTTATCAGTTGGGAATGAACCCGACTGGCGCCTGATTCTACAAAACGGTCCTTGCATTTCTATATTCTTACGTCTGCGGGGAGGCTAGGAACAGATTTCATCAGGTAAATTATCCAAAAAAAATGTACTTAACTTTAAGAAATATCATGAAAACTGCAACCCAGGCAAAGGGCGACTGAGCATGCGCTATCACTTTGAAACCTTCATTGCCCTCACTACATAAAATTGAAAGACGTTGAGTGGAATAAAATTAAATGTCTTTACGCCAGAGGGGGGGAAATACCGCAAATTAACTTTAACAAAAGCTACACAAATATTTGTAATCACTATGTGAGTCACGTTTCAATTTCAAGCCTTTTCTAAGCATATCCTTTCATCCATATCCCACTATTTAGTTTCAAGTGTTATTCTGCATTGTTTAGATATCTGGTTTTCAGTTGCATTGCGAGTTCCGCATTGTCAATATCTAAAATACCTCTGTTCCGAAAATCTTTAGATTGACCAAAGAAGTACGTTACTTTCTCGTTTTCCCTTCTCCAGATGTCTACCAACGAAAATGATGGGAATGTTGCTCTTTGTATGTTTATAAATTTTTTTGTCTCTCGCAATTTAAACTAGTATAGTATGTCCTAATGTACATGTGACAACTTAGTCTCCTAGAAAAAGGTCTCGAGCGAATCTGCTTCAAATAAATTAGATCCATGATAAATGGCAGACATGACCTTCTTTTGTAAAGCATCGTTTTGTCGCCGCGCCATTAGTTAAAGTTGAATGTCCTTTATCCTAATTATCACACATCCGGGTTTATGACATGAATCAAAAACACTCACGTGAAGGCAAAAAAACAGCAACAAACCAGTGAGGGCAGCCGGATCTTTAATGAGCTTTTTGGTAAATCAGTAAAATCTTCAATACCAAACTATAAATTAAAACAGTATTTGCAAACCTGAAATATCACCATTATTTTTGTTTGCGGCTTTATTTTTTATTTTCGTTAGCTTTTGCTCTCACTCCTCCTGCCGTCATGACCTGAAAATGTTTTCACCTCTCAACTAGAAATGTTACTTCTTTGAAGAGACCGTTCATTTATTTATTATTCAATCGTTCATTTGTTTAATTATCTGTTTATCCACCAATAAATTCATCTGTACTGATTTGTGTAGGTTAATTATTATTATTATTATTATTATTATTATTATTATTAATTTTTTTAAGGAATAAGGAATTTAGAAACACGAGATTTTATTCTTTTTAACTTGTTTTCGTTTTAATATCAGAGACGGATAAATCTCTTTTGTAATGACTTAATTTAAAACTCTGGACTGCCTGCAAGAGTCATTGACCGCATCTGAGCCGCAAGGAATGTATTTGTGAAATAGTTATTGACACGGTGATTACTAGTTTTATGGTTTATATAATTCTTAATGTTACATAGTGCTTAATTTTTACTTCAAATTTTTCTGTAATTTATGTGCAAATTTTTCTTAAAGTTCAATAAAATTATAGTATTTATTATTATTATTATCATTATTATTATTATTATTATTATTATTATTATTATCATTATTATTGTTTATTCATTCATTCTTTCATACACAACAGGAGCCGATCGGCTCCGGATTCAATTGAAAATATTTTTCGGCCGTTTCCGATTTGCTCAAATCCCTCGGTTAGACCTTCACACACTAACGTTTGCGATATGGGATAAAATGACATCGATGATGCAGGATAAGTTTGTTATATGGGTTCCTAACAAAATGAATCTTCTCACTCTCTTCTGGGCAAATTAAATTGCCTTTATATACCACTGTTTTCAATTGGTAAACTGCACAACATCCGTATACGTAGAGGTCATAGTAGAAACAAAGGAAGATAAATGACATCAACTAAACTGAAGTATCCAATTCGTTTTCTGTTTCTTCTTCTGCAAAGGCAACTAAGCTTAAATATGCATAGGGCATTCCTAGTATCTTCGACAGGACCAGCTCTCAGTTCAAAGTTAAATCCCGTTGTTTCGGCTCACAATTCGAGAGGGCAGAATTTATTCTTTGCAATCACCACAGGCAGCCCAAGCGCACTATGCCGTGGGTTCGGGCTTCAGAGGTCATTTAGTCGGAATATACTAGAATTATTAGTGTATTATCTGATGCCAAATAAATGCAAAAATCTTAAAGATATGAAGTCTTATTGTTTATTACAGCGTTCAGTACTGGATGGAAAGAAAGTCGACTAAACGGTGTTTAGACCGGCCTGAACTTAAGGTAAGGGAACGTTTTGAATCAATATTTCGCGTGATCATCATTTTTTTTTTCTTAGCGTTGTAGATTCGAATACATGTGATAAAATTAGAACAATAAGGGCCCGAATCACATGTAATAATGCACGAAGTATCGACCTTCGTTATCTTAAAGGCTACTAGTACAGATAGACAAACAGAAGACTTCATATCTTTAAGATTTTTTCATTTATTTGGCATCAGATAATACACTAATAATTCTAGTATATTATGTCCTGTTCTATTTATTTCACGGTATTTCGTTCAAATAAAAAGGTGTATTTTTGACTTTAATAATATGACCCGCTTAATAAGGACACACCGTTTAATAATACGGACACTTTCTATGGCCTCCTTCCGTATTTTTCAGCGGAGTTCACTGTTTTTTCAGCAGACTGTCCCGGAAGACTGTGTGGTCGAAAAAGTTACTAACTGGAGTTTGCGAGTTTGAAGCTTCAGAAGTAGGCAAACAGGGTATCAGTAGACAGCTTGGAAAAATTTGCAATCCTTCTATTCATAGAAAAAAGGAGAAAAATATTGTGAAAAAACAAGTTGCATAACGGACTTCCAGACGTTTTAATTTTAAGAATCAAACAAAGCAAAGCTGATTTATTCTTATGTCATGTCAAGTGGCAGGAGCTTTTGTGATGTGACAATAAAGCTTTTTTGACGTTAATTTATTGTCCACTTTGACAGGCAATTTGATGTTTCTCTTAACTACGTGAAAACGTGGCAAATAGTTGAATTGGTTCGCCGCTAACTGAGTGTAGTATAGTTTCAAGTTTAATAGAGCCTTTTGTCTCACCTGCGGAAGTTTTGGAATCGATATATCACAAAAGGAATGGCTCGCGTTGACAACTCATGAATTACTGTCAAGAGTAATTTAGATGTAATAGTCAACCATGCGTGCCCATGTGTTCATTTCGTTTACGCACAGCGAGACGTGCGTTGGAAAAATCTAACATTTTTGCGAGATTTGTCAGCGACTGCTCAAATCTAACACTCTGGGCATTTGCTTGCAACATCTCTATGCGACATCTATGTTCCGCGAGCAATCAACTTACAAACGAATCTTTGCGTTAGCATACACATCTGTGATAGCGCACGTCGAGCTTTGAATTGAAGCGAAGAATCACTCAGAAGCTTTACAAGCTTCTTTTTTGAAGTATATTTACACAAGGTAAGAAATATGTAGCCAGTTAGCTTATGTCGGCGTTGTTTGCTTTTATTTGAGAACATTTACGTAGATTATTAAGCCAAAAAATACGGCTCGTGACGTGTATCCAGAACAATCTTGCGGCCGGATGCTCGGTAGAGACAGTCTTCTTTCTTTCCGAATGACGAGACGATCTCAGCCTTGTATATTTGCCGAAAACGCTGCAGATTTTGCAGTAACGATGTTTTTGGTTTCCAAACTTTTGTAAAAATCCTGCTTATCGCTTTTGCCCTCTGCAGGGACGAAGGAAATCTGTACTAAACGAAGGTACCCCGTCATGACCCGTGACAAAACACAGTCGTAGTACGTGAGCTTTTGTTGGATGGAGTTGGACTTAAACTCTAAATATGAATTGCTTATACGGTCATAGTTTGGATGGTAAATTTATCCTTCTACTTCTTTGGGTAATTATTGGATCATCAGCCCAACAATCTGGAGGTAGGTGAACTTTATATCAAAATACAGTGAAATAGACAACGTTGTTAGTTTCGTGCGCGTGAGCCAACATATGTAAATATTCCTAGAGCATGCTATTGTAGCTACCTGGGCTAACTATTCGTAATCCGCGAGAGAATACTACGCTGATGGCAATGAGCGTGAAAACATAATTTTTAAGAGCTTAGTAAGGTTTCCCAAAAGCTAACAATCTCGGAAAGATGACTTTGCCGTAAAAGTCTAATTTTAGATCGGAACAAGTAAGCCGGCTTCAATTTGTCATTGTCGCTTTTTCGGTTCTGTAAACACAAGTCATCTCTCCCGATTTATTTGAATTTGGTTATTGGTATGTCTGATTGGTATAGGTAGTATATAGTTGAAAGAGGAGAGATACATCAGAGGTGATGCACAATTTTGGTATGTACGTGTCGGGGATTCCAAAGAAAACCGGTTTTCAAGCAGTGGTTCGGTCAATTTCTCAACGCACACGAACAGGGACACGAACACGAACAGTACATGCTGTGCAATGAGGCTCGTTGCCAGAAATATTGCTTCTCTGTTTTTAAGGTTTTCGCTATCTGATAAATAATACATGTAGCAGTTCATGGTCCCTCGTTGCCGCAGAAATGGTGGATTTTACCTCTTGGTCATGACGGCAGTCTTTTTTTCTACTGTTAAGGATCAAACGACAAACAGGCGCAGAAACCCGGGCGGAAGGTAAAACCTGCTTCTACAAAACACAAGTTGAGACTGAAATGATTTGTTTATGTTTTGTCGTCTTTTATTAAAGTAATGCAGGTTTTTTCTTGCTTATAAACAGCATTAATTAAATTTATAAATCGTCTTAGCACTACATACATACAAGGAAATTGAATATAAAACTCGGAACTTCAAAGGACTTTGATATGCTACGCTATTGGCTCTATTTGTTTGAACGCCATAACGATATTGAAACCTTTACTTGTCATTTGCATAGAAAACCCGGTAATTTTGGTGACTACTCTAACGCAGTTAGAAAGACGGGGCCTTTCGAAATATTGGTAACTCAAGAAGTATATAATATATTCCCGACTGTAAAATCAGCCTTGCTTCTTTCAATTGTTCAAAATTCTATTGGGAACTATTCATCCCGGTGGGAAAGCCTTCCGAGGTATCGCCTTCTTCCCGCTTATACCTAAACGACCGAAATTTTCTGCACCATTTTTGTGGATCACCAGTGCCAGGCTTCCAAGCAAGCGAAACATTTACCGGTATTTTGTAAATGGTGCAACTCAATCCCATTCCTGTTTTCGGGTCGAAAAAAATATACTAGCCGCCATTTGTCGGAAAATCTTCACCGAATTATCCGCACAAATGGTAAAGCTCCCCCTAGGGTTATCCAAATGATGTAAGAAAAAGAAACGGCAGATAGCTAAAGGGGCTTGGACAATTAATGAATTCTGAAAATTGAATGTGGACCCTGACAAAAAGAGAAAAACAACCTTTAGAAAGCTTTTAGTAAACATACATTTCTTGACAGGGGGTAGTGTAAAGCAAATTTTTTACTTAACTTATAATTTTTTTCTGACCACAAATTCATTTTACAGGTTATTTATAGCAAATGTCTAAATGATCACTGGTAATTCTACCTCCTTTGTCACCACATTTTTTTTGAGCTTTCATAAATCCTTACTTTAAGACATTGGCATGGACGGAAATATAAAACTCAGTGTGCGACATAACAATAATTAATAGCAAATGCAATCACACCGACTTTGAAAGACGGAAATTGATAGCTTTAAATGTCACTTCAGAATCAACTACCTACGCAGAATCTAAATCTGATTACCTGTCAGTCTATACATGTCGGCTGCACTAAACTTGTTCCTGAATAGTTTGTGTTTTAGTCTAGGTGACAAAATTGTGGTTTATAATTGACGCAGATCGAAAATTTTAATTTTACGTTTTTTTGTCGATATCTTGCCCTTGTACTTCTTTAATATATTTGTAGTTGATTTTTCTTCGAGTAAATATTAAACATTTGCTGTTTTACGTGCCTTTTTAAATTTTTTTAGCAATATCTCTACTTATTATTTCTAGAAGAAGGATTTTTAGCCCAGTATAGTTGATATTTATTAAAATGGCCCGGTTTATCATTGCCTGTTCCATGCGTTCACATAGTGGAGGCTGGCGTGAAATGGAGAACGGACGGAAAAAAGCGGAAGCAGAAGAAAGGAAGAGGGAGAAAGAAGGGAGCGCCTTTGAAATTTGTGTTCAAAAGTTCTTTCCGCCCACTTTGTCGGCGCGCAATTCAAATCTTAGGTTTTGATCGACTGTCCTCGCATCTACTACCCTGCTGTGTTTCTTCCTGCTCACTTGTCGTTGTTGATGTTGATGTTGTTGTTGTTGTTGTTGTTGTAGGGAGCTTAAGCATCTACGACGACGACAACGACGACAATTTCAAAAAACAATAGATTTAATGATCAAAACAACAGCTCTGCACCTGCATCACGTTTTTTAGTAAAATTCTTTGACGTCCACTGCACGACTACGACGTGAAACCTCATAATTTGACGTTTTATGGAGGACGTGGACATACGACGACGAATTTTCCTTCCTCTTTTTGAACTTGAATAAAATCCTTAAGAATTCAACTCCAGGAAAACTCGCCTGCATTTGACATATTGAGCGGGGCCAAATAAACGCGATTAAGTTTGAAAGAAGGCAAATTCATTTTTTTAGCAACGTCACTTTCACTGCCGTCGTCGTCGTCGTTGCTTAAGGTCCCTAATGACGTGAAACCTTCCAATGCGACGTTTTATGGAGGAAGTCGACATACGACGACAAATTTTTCCTTCTCTATTTGAACATGCCAAAAGCGCTTAAGAGTTCAACTCCAGGAAAAGTCGCCTACATTTGGTTCCAAGTAGAGTGACACGATAAAGTTTGAAAATACGCAAATTCTTTTTTTTAGCGACGTTTTCACTGCCGTCGTCGTCGTTGTTGCAGGTCCCTTGTTTTGCGCGGTCCTCGCTATCTGAATGCCTGGAGCCAGCTGTGTTTATCATGGCGTGCACAACCGGCGCACAAACTTTCTTTGAAATGGACGTAATATATCAAACATGAGATGCAGTGTTTCATCACCAGATGAAACACCGAGAAGAGAGTTGAAAATACGACGCGCAGCGGAGTATTTTTGACGAACTTCGAGGTGTTTCATCTGGTGATGAAACACTGTGTCGAATGTTTGATACTTCTTCTCAAACAAAATCATTTTTGAAGGAGAAATTAAGGATGCAAATACTAAGCAGTGTTTCATCCGATTTCCAAACACTCATTAAACATTAATTTCCTTTGTATTTTCTTAATGAATTATTAATGAGTTTGAGAACGTCCTATAAACAGGGTCCGAAATTGCGCTTTCCTGGTCGCCAATGCGACTAAGAATTTAGTCCTGGCGACCAGAATTTCATAGCTGGTCGCCAGCTAGCGACTTGTAAAGCTGGTTGTTATTGTGGACTTAAACGTTCGGAGAAACTGATTAAGAATTGAAACCTCAAAGCTATTTGCCAACAGGTGTCTTACTTTTTGTCCTGCTGATATTTTTTAATTAAAATTGAAACGAAGCTTCCTGTAATAATACCTCCACAACAACTACTACCAATACAAGTTGAACGTTTCCAAGCCGCCATTACGAGTAATGTGGCACAAAAAAATGTGGCCTGGTACGAACAACATGGCGGTTATGTTTCGTGGTTGTTTCGTTCATTGTTTCGCCGTAGATATCGGAAGAAAACAGTTTTGATATGATCCGTTGCAGTCATGGGCAGACAGCTTTCTGTTCCTACGTTCTAGATCAGATGGCTTTACATGTATATGTCCAAAAAGTAATTTGTGGAAAAAATGAGACTTCACTCGTACACGTACGGTTACTTTCTGGTATCGGGAGCGGAAGTAGTGCAATTTTTAAGCACAAAAACGTCCATACCATGCATTTTTTATTCGTGTTTAAACTTTTATTTGAAAAAAAAGGGAGGGGGAATTTTTGGCGACCACAATTTGCCCTCTGGCGACCAAAACTTTATACTTGATCGCCAGTTGGCGCTCGTATTAAAAAGTTAATTTCGGACCCTGATAAAGAATTTTTATTCTACTACCTAATTTTTCAACCAACAGGAAGGCCATAATTTGCTTGGTAAATAAAGCCTACACAATTTTAAAATTAAAATTGTACCTTTAGTCTTCAGAAGGTGGACATGTTCATGAAGCATTCATGTCTGTGTACATTTAATAAAGGAAAAGTTAGTTTTGTGCGAGTTTGTTCGTTTATTAGTATTAAATTACAGGATTACAAGTGTTAGGTTATTATTAATAATGATTATATATCCAAATTATAAACCTGCTAAAATGCTTTATAAACCCTGTAGCAGTTTCATAAAAGATACTATTCTAAATGTAACGAAGATCCTCGCAGTTACAGTCTTGTGACAGATGATCTTGCCAAAACCATTAACGTGGTCTGGGACGGAAAGGATTGGGCTTTTTCACTTCCTAGCGGATAACTCTTGCGACGACACGGAAACCATGCATATTGGCGATTTTGGCGCGATTTCTGTAACAGAGCGAAGGCTGCGCCTCGCCGACCTTGAAAGTGGATCGTCACATATCAGATAGGTTTTTACCAGTCTTCGTTGTAAAGCTAGTGAACAGGTATTAGGGCCGTAGCGGAAGTAGATGAGTAGAAGCGAGGACTGACTTAACACACTGAGACGGAAGTAAACTTTCGGGCAAAATGTGAGATTGGGATTTAATGCACCAAGCCTTGTCAGATCAAGGGCGTAGCGTGAGATTTTGAAGGTGTACGCACGGAAGAAAAGTTAGAGCGGCGAAGACGTTCCAAATTAAGGGGGTCTAGGGGTATACTGCCCCAAAAAACTTTTAAATTTAGGGTCTCCTAAATGCCATTTCCTGTGTTTTTCTTTTTCAGTAAATAAATAAGAAGGAAAAATGCATTAGTTAGTTGTTTATTTTACCCATCTCTGCTGTTATCGGTACCTAAAAGGTACAGTCTTTACGGAAAAGGGGTAAAGCAGTGACGCCATCAAAGAGGTTACAAGCGAAGGGCGAGATGTGTCCTTTGCTTGTAACCTATTTTTTTTTCAGATTTCAGCTGTTTGCACGGGCGTATCTGCGTAAATGGACGCTTCGCTCCCGCAGATAACCTTTCTGGTACAAAGTTCGGTGTCTGAACGGTTTATTCTTTGCCTTTTCCGTTCAAACTGTACCAGATATCTTTTCATGTTGACAAGAAAAGCTGTCCTATATACTGTTCACATAGCCTCAACGACTCCCCACAATGTTGGGACTTGTTGCGTCCGTCAAACGAACGCAACATTGTTGGCCAACAACTCCCAATATTGTTAGGTGTTACATATTGCGTCCTTTTCCACACCTTGTTGCATGTTGTTGAGCAAAGTTTGAAACCGTGCAAACGGATGCAACAACTCCCATCAATGTTGGGAGTTGCTGGCCAACAATGTTTCGTCCGTTTGCATGGGGCTTTAGACATAAAACTATCCAGAATAAAGCCCCCGTGAAAACGGACTCAACATTTTTGGCCACCAACTCCCAGCATTGATGGGACTTGTTACGTCGTTTGCTCATGGGTTAACCACACATGAGAACTTCTTCACTGAAGAATTTCACTGTTTTGCGACTCGCGTTTGTCACTCAAATCTTGACACAGCTGAAAACGTTATACTGTTGACATAGCCTCAAAATGCTCGATATGTCGTTGATATTCATTTTATTTCAATTTGTGTCATTCTTCGCAACAGTTCCTCAAGTTAAACAGTCATCTCAACCCAGAATTGTTAAACCTGTCGGAGAGGAGGAAGTTAAACTTTTTTGCAATGTGAAAGGAGCTGTGTCCTACACCTGGTACAAGAATGGGAAGGTGATCCCTGCAGCAGTTGACCGTTACACTGTTAAAAAGGACAGATATCTTCTAATAGTCGACGTTGTGAAATCAGATAGTGGACTGTTTGTTTGTGTGGCATCCAATGGTTATGGAAGCGCCAACTGCACCATCAGTTTCTTGGTAGAAGGTATTGGATATTTTGTTTAAATTTTTTCCTTGAAAGTTTGACTTGAAATGCTCTTAATGCTGTAGAGTCCAAAAACTAACCTTGAGCAAGAATTCAAGAAAACTCGTAAATTTCAGTTTATGAAATGCAAATACAAAAGTCCTTGTTTGGCGGAAATTAATCGACGATTGAAAATATTTTTTATGAGATCCCAGTTTTCTATTTCAAATTTTTTCGTCAATTTTCTCATCTAAAACGACGGTAGAAAATCGCGAGAAAAAAAAGCAAAAAAGCAAAACAAAACAAAATAAAAAATTATTGACCTCATAGGAGACTAACAGTGAAATTTTTCATTTTTTGTGACAGATCCTACTGTAAAACCTACCAACATCACAGGAGGTACGATGGCTTTTCTAGCATTACTAGCAGCACCTAGTTTTGTGCTATCCAGTTATGTTGTTGTTGTTTATCTCTTTTTTTTACTGTATTGTTGATGTTTGTAAAAGTTTCATTCGCCATTTACACATCTCCTTTATTGTTCCTACTTTATTTCAACTATATTTATCGCTCCTCGCAGAAATTGATCTTTTACCTATTTACTGATGGCACTACAGTAATATGCTTTATGCTGACAAAAACATTAAGGGTTGAAAGTCAACACTTGAAATTAACCCTAAACGCCAAGAAGTCTGTAATTTTTCTTCCCTAACATCGTAAAATGGACTGTCCAATAAACAGTTAGATTTTTTATATCAATACCTAAACCTCAATGACATTAGAGTGTAAGGATTATATTAAATATCTTCGGTTGGAAGAAATGCCATATTGACTATGTTGCCTCTAAAATAAGTAAAGCAATAGGAATTATTGCACGTCTTAGGCACTATGTGCCATTGAATACCCTTCTAAATTTATATCGCTCTCTGATATCCCTTTATTTATGCTAAGGACCGGTTGGCTGGGGACAAACTGCTAACTTTGGGGGGTGGGGGAGCAAACGAGGTGTATCATGGGAGATGGGCAAATGGCGAATAAATTAACAAAATTGATAACAGAATGGAGTGCTGTGCCTCGTGCAAACCTTGGACGCAACATTGTTGGCAAACAACTCCCAACATTGTTGTATGTTACATGTTGTGTCCGTTTGCACACCCTGTTGCATGTTGTTGCATGTTGTTGCGTATTGTTAGGAGTTGTTGTGCAAAGTTTGAATCCGGTCAAACTTTTAGCTACGTGCAAACAGATGCAGCAAGCCCCAACAATGTTGGGAGTTGTTGCGTCTGTTTGCACGTAGCTTAACATTGTTTGGGACTTAAGCTTGTTGCATCCATTTTCACAAGCCTGCCAACACGTATGCAACGACTCCCAACAATCATTGTTGGCTAACAACTCCCAATATTGTTAGGTGTTACCTTTTGCGTCCTTTTGCACACCCTGTTGCATGTTGTTGCACAAAGTTTGAAACGGGTCAAACTTTTAGCTTCGTGCAAACGGGTGCAACAACTCCCCTCAATGTTGGGAGTTGCTGGCCAAAAATGTGTCGTCCGTTTACGCGGGGCTTTAGACATAAAACAATCCAGACTAAAGCCCCGTGGAAACTTTAACGGACGCAACATTTTTGGCCAGCAACTCCCAGCCTTGATGGGACTTGTTACGTCGTTTCCTCATAGGTTAACCACACATGAGAACTTCTTCACTGAAGACTTTCACTGTTTTGGGACTCTCGTTTGCCACTAAAATCTTGGTACAGCTGAAAACGTTAAGCTACATGCAGACGCACGGCGCAACATTGTTAGCCAACAACTCCCAAGATTGTTCGGAGTTGTTGCGTCCGTTTGCACGTAGCTAAAAGTTTGACCGGTTTCAAATTTATGCTCAACAAGTGCAGACGACGATCGAATAGTATCCCATGATGCACCTCGATTCATGTTATATTATCACTGTGTACATGACACATTATGATCAGTAACCTTCAGCACGCGCGAAGTGAACATCGATCGCAGTGCTCGATGTGGATGGTTTCCAAACATGTTTCGGTTCAGCAGCTTCTGCTTTTGAGATTATCGAGTTGGCTAATATTCACTGTGCTTTAAAGGAGAATTTCAGCGTTGCTTTGACTGAGAAGGGTTTTACATGTATTTCACTGATCTGTCGAGAACTACTTGTGCCGCGCTCGGTCGCACTGTAAACACAAATTATAAGACTCGCAATTGATAAGCTTCGCTAGGTTCACTAGGAGAACCCAGGCCAGAGGAGAACCAAAACTATGACTGATCTATAAAGTGGTTCCAACAAAACATCCGCTACGCTGTGAAGCTAATTACCAAAGGATAATTTATTACAGCATCGCGCTCAAAGGAGCTGAAGTTTACAATGGCAGTTACAAATAAAATTTAACCTATCGATGCGACAAACAATTCTCTGAAGCACAGTCTACCCAGTACTGACTCAAGCAATCTTCAAGGAAATTTCGTGGCCAGAATACTGATCTGTTCTTTTGAATAAATAAAGTTTCTGCATGATGTTTCTTTTTCAAATTCTGAGCTGGCCTGTTTACGTTGTGCCGGCTTGCATGCTGCGTGGTTCCTTTCTTTGGGTTCTTTTCACACTGAAACACACCATTATACACCGCTCCTCCTTCGAATTAAAATAATTCTAGTCAAATTCCTTTTAAAAATAACCTCTTTGAAAATACAAAGTGATTGCTTCGGCATAAAGCGCTCTCAAAAGCGCCCAACAGATTGTAGCCTTCATCAGGCTTTACACATTATTATGACACATGGCGTTGAAATGTGATAAAAGATTCGAAATTTCAGCCATCTTTGGTCGACAAAAAAGACTTCAAAATGTGGGTACTTCTGGGTACTTCTTGGCCTGTACAATATTCAGGACTTCATTTTGCTGGCGTGAGGTCCACATTTGTAAGATTTCAACATGTATTCCAAAAAACCTTGAATATTCATGACCTGGTTGTGGGTCACTGAACACTTTGTGATGGGAAGACTAATTGAAACCGTGAAAATAAATGTTTCTAAGTGGAAACTTCGCTCTTAAGCCATTACAAATCGGAGAAATCATGTCAAATAACGAAATAATGTAATTTTTTTACTTTTACTGGAAATCGAGTGAGAAAAAAGCCGACGAGAGAACGACCTTATTTCAAGATGGAATGTGCTATGACTGCGATATTGCCTGATGCTTCTTGAAAAATGCATCATGGGATACTATTCGATCCTCCTCTGCAACAAGTGCCAACAACACGCAGCAACATGCAACAGGGTGTGGAAACGGACGCAACATGTAACATCCATGTTGGGAGTTGTATATTAAACGTTACAAACAACAAAAATGAACTTGTCTTAGCAAAAACTGTTGGGCTAACACGTTTTCACCCAAGTTTGTCCATCCGTGCCCTCTTTTGTATTTGCTGAGTTATTTACACCTTCTTTAAATGTTTTGAGCAGGTATTTTTATGTTTCGCTCATTTTGGTGCCGGTTCACATCTCCTTTAAGCACCGTGCCGAGGTTTCATTTGAACGGTAATAGCACATAATTACGTCCCCAGATTTAAACGAAAGAGTGACAAACTATTTCTCTATGGCTTGTTCTAGGACTAAAAGAGATAATATATTCTTTGCTGCAGAATTGAAAAATTTCCTCCACTCGTTCACTAACAATATTATCTGACTTTTCAGAAAAACCACAATTTAGACGTCTGGATTTAATGAGGAAGACCAAAAAAGAATTTAGGGTAGGAGATAAGCCAGTGGCTTTAACGTGTGAGGCTGTTGGTAAGCCTACCCCGATTGTCACGTGGTACAAAGACGGCAACATATACGAAAGCTCTGGTCAGAGACTGGGTCCTTACGACTACCAACTAGAATTCAATGAGTTGGATGTTACGGATAGCGGATCATACATGTGTAATGTGTCTAACGCGTTGGGGTTCTTGACTTATACTTACAATATTACAGTCAAAGGTTAGTGTTATTATTTGCTATGGTCTTAATACATTGGAACCTCGATATAACGAAGGGCTAAGGGATTGGCAAAAGTTGTTCGCTATGGCGAGGTTTCTTTAATATATCGAGGTTCTTTTTCATATATTTACCATTACATGTACTTGCGCAAAGAAAATCGATCGTTATATCGAGGACTTGGTTATATAGAGGTTCGTTATATCGAGGTTCCACTGAAGTCATCATCATAATGATCATCATCATCACCATCATCATCATCATCACCATTATCAGTTGGCTGTTATGCAAGCGACTGCGAGGACGGTTGGTCAGCGGTCGTCATGGTGGCCGGTCAAGATTTTCTCACTCGCGGCCATTCGTCTCGCCATTCGAGGCCTTTATTTGTATTTTTTTGCAATCTCTTTGCTTGTTTGTCAACTTTTTCGACAAATGAACGGCTATTGCATTCGACCTAGCTGCTTGGCGGCTTTCTCTCCAGCAAGGATCCTCATCCTTGCTGTGCCTTTGGCTTCCTTTAGCGACCGCCATCTTGGTCGTATCAAATACCACCAGTCCAGAGTCCCGCTGTATGGCGCTCCAACAGCTTGTATGACGATGCAGCTTGTGAGACACAGCTCTCTTGAACTTCTTATCCATTCCGGTGGTGTTCATCTTAACCCAGGCCCTGACACCGGCTCTAACCCTGTGACATCGTACGGTCGGCGTTTTGTATCCATCGGCCACTCCAATGTACGTGGGCTGTTAAGGCGTTAATATTGAACAAACTAAACTAGACATTCTTACTATTTCGGAAACACATCTGACTGAAAATGTCTTGGACAACGAGGCATTTATCAGTGGATATCAACTGGTTGTGACAAAGCTGGTGGTGGTGTCGCAATCTATTTTAAGGATAACTTGAACTGTGTGCGGATTACTATGTACGAAGTGCCTGACCTTGAAGCCATCTGGATTGAAGTGACATCGATTTCTCAACCTCTGCTTGTTGGTTGTGTTTATAGACCTCCCGGCGACCGCACTGATTTCTTTGGCAAATTTTACTGTGTTGTGGAGAAAATGTGGCTATCAAGGAAAAAGTGGTAATAGCTGGTGATTTTGACGTTGACCAGCTCTCTTCCAATTACAATGTTTCTAAGCTGAAACGTATTTACCAGGCTTTTAATTTTCAAAATGGGATTCATAACCCCACTGAAGAATTGCTGCGTCGTCGAGTACCCTTCTGGATTTGATCTTAACAAATCACTTGCCCAAGATTTTGAAATCTGGTGTTTCTGACTACAGTATTGCCGATCACAAGTTTATTCATGCTGTTTTATGTTAAAGAAACAAAATGAAGGCCCGGTTTTGAAGAAACTGTACAGTTTTTAAAGAAGTTGACTGCAAACAAGGCTGCTTTTCAATATGAACGACTTGTATGTGCTCCGTGGTGGGTGTTTGTGCTCTGCCTTTGACGATGTGGATGATGTTACCTGTGCGTGGGAGAGTATGTACAAGGATATCCTTGATGGTTATATTTCCTCAGGAGAAGCAAAAATTAGGAAGTTCTCCCAACCCTTCACACCTAGCCTCTGTTCATTCGAGAGCAGCAAGAGTTATTTCAACTTTGACCTGTTCGTATCTGATGCTGAATACCTATTTTTAAAAGAAGTCTGTCTTTATATTGACGCAAGATATTTATTTTGACTATATCCTTTTTGCCTGACGAACTGTTTTCAAAGAAAGTCCCTAGAAGATCGTTACGTGCAGTCAATCAAATGGTTATACCAAAAGGCCCAGGTCCGAACCAAGTGGACATTCCTTATGGCGCAGAGGACCTGTTATATGGAATTTTTAAAAAAAAAATTATCAATATTCAGACAGTGTAAATAGTTTTAAAAACTCTGCGAGAACAATCAAAGCTGACTTGGAGGCCTTTTCTATTAACAAAGAAGCATCTGTTATTACAATGAAATCAAAGGATTTTATCTATTCTTAATATATTTTTAGTTTTATTTTAAAATTAATTAATGTAAGAGTCGTAAACTAGTTTTAATATTCAGCTTCATCTTAACTGAATTTGTAAATACTTTTAGTGCTTGTCTATGTTGCTATCTCTATTTCGTAATTACTTATACTTTAGTGAGTCCTCATCAGCCCATGGCTGCCTTTCTAAACCTACTCAAATAAAGTATATTGTATGTATGACGCTCCATTTGGATTGGTTCTAATCAGCTTATCGGCTGTCACCTATTTTAAAGTTCTTATCAGGTTCTATCCATCATTGTACCTGTCCTCCTGGCCATCTTTTCCCGTGAGCTGGTTCATAAAACGCGTAGATGTTGGCTTGTTTCTCATTATCTTCAGAAGGGATCATAATATTCTTAATAAGTTTCAATTACCGCAAGATGGTTAGTTTCATCAGAAGCCTCTCCTCCACTAAGTGTTAAACTGCTTTCATCTGACACTTTTCCATAGTACAGTTTCTTGTCTCAACTTCTTTGGCTACTAAAGATAGGGTGCTTTTGCCGTTATGATAGCACACTTGCTCATATTTCTACCTCAGCTTCCTTCATCTGCGTCTCAGTTGGTTATTTACCGACCAACCACATTCTCTAAGGGCCTTCCATATAAGCCCGGTTGACCGGGTTGGCTCAGTTACCGGGATGAATTTTGCCTTGGGTTCATATGAGAAATTTTAGCCCGGTTTCCAAGATGAGAAAAGGTCAAAGATCCTGGGGATGAGTTCTGGCGCCAAATTCGGGAAACAAAGCAAACATGGCGAAACACAAAAATTTTAACTTTCGGGCCTACCTTAGCATCGGTAACTCTTAACGCTCTGTCACTGCAGTTAAATGGGATGCTTCTGATGTGGAAAATATAGCAGGCAATGCAAGACGATGCCATCCTGACCGCCAGAATTCATCCCGCCGTTCATCCCGGTAACCGGGATGAAGTGTTCATATGGCAAAATGTCCAGCCCGCTTACCGAGATCTCGGGAACCGAGCCAGCCCGCCCTCTCATATGAACACATCGAACATTTTACAAAGGATTTAGAGGTGAAGCGAGATTTCGGAAACGAGGCCAACCCGGTCAACCGGGCTCATATGAAGAGTCCCTAAGTCGTCGATACTGTTTTACCACTTTAGCTCGCATCCCGGTTGTAATTTCTGCCTGCAAAAGACTTCAAATTTTCTCATTGGCATCTGCAAGTCAAGCAATTGCAAATTAACCCGAAAAAAAAAATTCGGGGCTTCAACGGAATTCTAACCCATGGCGTCTGCGTTAGCACTGCAGTGCTCTACCAACTGAGCTATGAAGACCCATGCATTGGGAGCAGGCCAATTTGTTGAGTTCATCTCAACCCGTGAAAGGAATGAAACATAGAATGAAGATGATGTGAACTGCGGAAATACAAATCCTAATGAAAGTATGATCGGGGAAGTGGCAACTGCAATTTAAGCAATTGCAAATTAACCCGAATTGAATCGAATTGCAGTTGCCAAAAAGAACCTCTATATAACGAAGCCAAGTTATAGCAAACAACTTTTGCCAGTCCCGTGACCCTTATATCGCACTTCCACAGTACTTATTTCTGTTATTACTAGTGGTTAAATTATTTCTCTACCAGTAATTCTAGTGTTATACCTTTTTCCTTAACTTTTTTCGTTTTTTCATTTTTCTTTCTTCTTTTAGACGTAATTCGCAGCCAGCCTAGCATATTAGTAATATGGGAACAGAAGTCTCCCCTCTGTGTCGGTCAAAATGTGGAGATTTCTTGCACAATAGTGACCTTTGACCCAAAAACGGAGTACCGCTGGTATTATAGCGACACGAACATTCGGGATGAGAACAACATGGGCGTTTTAATTGACCCGCGACTGTACGAACAGCCAGAATATAACGGGGGAGATAAGAAAATGGCTGAAGTGATATTTACTCTGACGTTACAGAATTTGACGATCAATCAGTCCGGACTTTATGGGTGTCGAGCTGAAAACAAAATTGGCCCCGAGTCACGCCAGGCCAACCTTACCGTCACTCACGGACCATGTACTACAACAACAACAGGTATAAAATATTAATTCAACTATCCCCCGAGAGGGGGTGGGGTTGGTGAATAGTGGTGAATATCGCGAGACGCGAAGCGTCGAGGTAAATTCCTTGCGCTGTTCACCAAACATGATGGGGATAGTTGTTTTAGTACTTACCAAATCAGTTGGATAAAAATGAAAAAAGTAACCTTTGGTAAATAAAAACCGTCATTTAGTAGGAACTTTATTTACAATTTACAAACATTTCGAGGATTTTGTCAAGTGCATTTTTACAATTTTGTTGCAAAAATTCAGCATGAAAATAATTTTCTACCTACCAGTAATCACCGACCAGCCAAAGTTCGTCGCTTTCTAGGTATTTGTTTGTACGAATGATTCATTTATCGCTCAAATTTGGTCTTTCCGAAAATGTCTCGAAACGAGACGCCATCTTGGCTCCAGTCGCAAAGCAGTGAATACTTAGCCAAGGATGTTCCGAGTTACAGGAGCCAATCAAAACGCCGGAAAATTGCTATTCACTGATTTGGTAAATACTAACAAGGATTATCCTTTTGAAATTTGATAGAATAGGGGACTAAGTGATAGAATAGGAGACTAAAGCTGTTAACACATGGCCGGCGCAGAGCAGTTTTTTGTGATCTTGGTTGTAGTTAAATTTTACAGCTGATATCGCGAATCGCTTTCGTTTTACTGTAGAATCGAGCAAAACGTCATGCGATCGTGTTACAAACCCGGCAAAACGTTATCCAATGCTCCGGAAAACCGCTGAAGGAAATGATTGCGACTAATAACAGCGCTCGGAAAGTTTCGCTTTCCAAATGCGTCGCCCTTTTGGGCGGCGTTCGCTCCCACTGTGCATTACAGTACATAATAATTATTTACCTGCTTTGTAAAACGATCGCATGACGGTTTGATCGGTCAAGTTCATATTCGATTCTACAGTAAACGGAGGCGATTCGAGCTATCAGCTGTAAAATTTAACTACAACCAAGGTCACAAATAACTCCTCTGTGCCCTGTGGTTTCAGCAGCTACGAAAAACTGTTTGGACCTCATCAGTCGTCACCAGAGACGCTAATACTTGACCTCTGTGATTCCACGTAATAATAATTAGAGAATAAGTGTGTGGAACTTTGTTGCATTTATCCTCAAAGGAAGGTGTGACCTATGGGGTATTCTGACTCTTTTTGTCGGTCTTGGTATCTGTGATTATTAGTACATGTAGTTCCAATAAACTGGATTTTTTTTTTGAAAATGTAAAATTTATTCTTCCACAGAACGTTGTTGTCAGGTCTTTATGTTGTGGTTCTTTTAAGAATAACAGTCGTCCTTGAAAATAAAATGACCCCACACATCCCTTACTCATCGATAGCGTCTATCTTAGCTAGTGCTGTAGAAAATGCAGGGGTGGAAGGAAATAAACACGGAATTCTTTGTCCCACTTTTTAAGCTCCCTTCTCGTTAACACTGTCATATTGTATCTATAACGTTTGCAGGATCGCCCCCAAATTCCACAACAAGCACACCAACCTCTTGGCCAGAAAACATCCTTCCTGGATCAACGTCGTCCGTTACTCAAACTGAGATTATCATCTATGTTGTCTGTAGTATTGTGTTGGTACTCATAATTTGTGGTATTATTTTCGCCTTTGTGAAGCTGCGAAGGCGAAAAGGGACGGTAAAACTTCCAGACGCTAAATACGACGTGGCTTCTGATCAAGTCAACGTTCAGCCGCAAAGTTTTGCTCCAAGAACGGTATCGGTCTCATCTACCGGGTCAGCAGCTATGTTCTTACGACAAAGAAGCTTTCGTAATCGCTTGGATTCAAGGCTCACAAATGTAAGACTTTGAAACAAAAGAGCGTTTTCAAAATGACGTCACGGCGGCCATATTGGTGTTCCAAAACAATGAAACGGCGCCCTTGTTGGTGTTCTAAACTAGTCCTGTTGTCGTTTAACTTTTTTATCTAAATGCTTTCTTTTGTTTCAGTAAATTTGCATTGATGCTGTGGCCACGTGAGTGAAAACGCTCCATAGGAGAACCTTTGACTTCTTTGTTTGCCCCATGAACATATGCTTATCATTCTCTAGCTATAAAACGTTTAAGACGGCGTTTCTGAATATTGAAAGAGCATAGCAAGATTAGTAGTATCTCTGAAAATTTGAGCCCTAGATAACGAATAATTTTGGAGAAATTTTGCCTTTGTGGTAGCTGCTATTGCTTGAAAAGCGGAGTTGGAAATTGAAGAAATTGCGTTTTTTCTTTAACAGACAACATTTATTTAAAATAAAAACTACAGTATCATTTACATGGCAATCTAAAATGAGGTGAAGGACAAAAAGACTTAAACATGTGAACAATAATTTACTGGTGGTTACATTTACAAGATCTTTTGTCTAAATATATTTTTTATTTATTTATTTATGTATCTATTAACACTCCTTACTTTTAATATTTAATACAGGTAACAGTTAACATGGCTAAAAGAATTAAATTACTACGTCGACCAATATCAGCGCTCGTTGACCAGATACTGGACAAATCTACGTAGAGACGGCTGTATTCGCAGGCCGCCTGGCCTTAAGATATTTGACGCTAGGAAGCGCAATTAACACTTTGCGGTACTACCCGTATATACAAATCAGATCTCCATTTGCTCTTGAATAAGGCTTTGTATCAAAATAAATTGCATAATTGAACCGAATGGATCTGTAGGTCCCATCGATAAGAATTATAAATGAGGTTTCTGGATTAAAAAATCACTTGAGCCACTATTTTTTTGTCGTTCCACTTACAACTGTACAACTTATCTCCGTTCTTGTTTACATTTTGAATCATTACTATTGTGAAGTGAATGACCTTTCGTAGGTGTTAGAGGTTGAGGTGCCATATGATGAAGCATGGGAGATAGAAAGGAACCAACTGGTCCTGTCAGATGTTCTGGGTGAAGGAGCCTTCGGTCGAGTCATTAAAGCAAAAGCGATAGGACTGAACAATATGCCCGATACGCTCACTGTGGCAGTTAAGATGTTGAAAGGTGTGTGAAGAGCGGGTGTAACTTATCAGTTCTACAATTTTGGGTTGTGCCATAACCACCAGTCAATCCAAGAGAGATTGGTAAACCCATCAGTCAGTTTCACAAGGCAGTTAGTCAGTCAAGTTGAATCACTTGGCCAGACCAAAGTCAGTGAGTCTTTCTAGCCGAGCTGGTCTAAACTGAGGAACTGCCCACCTACTCCTCCCCTGAGCTAACATTAACACTTACTTCTTACTTAGGGCAAAATGATGCTCAGGGGAGGGGTAGGTGGGCAGTTTCCCGGAAACCTAAATTAATCCGTCTAAATTTTAGTAGCCTGCGCATGCGTCACAGATGTAATCTAACCCCGGCTAGTAACTTCTGTGGCGCAACGTCGAGATCCTTGTTCTGGACCCCAACGGACTCAATGAATTACCAGAAGTGCGATTCTAATTTCCCCTGTACTTAATTGGCAAATCGACAATGGTTTTTTTGAAATGTCAATCTGCCTGGAGTTTACTCAAATTCTAGTACACCGGTGGGGGGTCAGAACAGGGATTTTGACGACGGCTCGCAGAAGGACTTAACCATAGATATAGTTTATTCTGGGACGTACGCCAGCATTTCAGTCGATCACCTAACCAGTAAGTCGATCCATCAGCCTTTCGGGTACCCAGCAAACCAGTCACTCGTGGCCTCAGTCAGTCAGTCAGTCCATTAATCAATCAGTGAATTCTCAGATTAATTTATTAGCCAATCAGTTTATTAGTTAGCAGCTGGCCAGACAATAATTCTCAAGTTTAGACTAATGGACTTAACTTGTAAAAACGCTTCTAAAAGTGGAAGATTTAATTCGATTGCAAAAAGACTCAGTCATGTTGTGTGCAAGACTTTTTCAAGCGCTCTTTCATTCAAGCAATGAACTTTTTCGTATGTTTTTTTTATTATTCATTTGCAGAGGATGCATCAGACCAAGAACTGCTGGACTTGGTGTCGGAAATGAAGGTTATGAAGTCAATAGGAAAACACAAGAATATCGTCAACTTGTTAGGAGTCTGTACACAAGACGGTACGTGTCTCCTGATTGCAGCGACTTATGATTTCCAATAGGGAGGAGTTCCACAGTAGCCTTTTTGCAAGAAATGTTATTAATCACAAGTCACGCTATATCATGCATTAATTTCTGCCGTGGCTTATTTATTTTGTGTAGCATTACTCCTGCCATTTCATCTATAGCCTGAGATCATGCCCTTTCCCTATTATCCCTTTATGTCTCTCACGGGAAGAGGGCATGATACATTTCTTTGTCGGATCACATGTAAAAAAGCCAGAATCTGGACTTTTTTCTGATTGGATAGGAAACAATACGGATGATTTGCGCTGTTCCAATTGGCCAAAATGCCGCCATCCGTTAGTTGTTGTTGATTTCAGTCTGCATTTTTTCTTGCGTAATGAGCAGTGAATACACACGCGAGTTCTTTATGAAATTTCTGCCGGCTCAGTTTTCTTAAATTTGAAGAATGCCTAAATAGAAGTTTCATCCATTGAAATATTTTCCATCTCATCGTATACTAAAACAGTCGCAGTCAAAACTTCACCGATCATTTGAATAGTTTGAATGCAATTTGATACCGGCTACAAGTTACAGAAGCAACAAACAGGTTCACTTTTGAAATAATCAATTCATGAATGGAATCTTGACCTGGTTTGACTGTAATTCCTCCTTCAGAAATAATGCTGCGAATTATTCTGAGCGATCTTCGTTTTCACAACACCTTTCAGTTCGTGAAATATGGTGCTTCAGCCTAATTTTTTTTCACTGCTTCGACACAGAACGAAGTCAACGAGCTTTAACCAGTAAATTCTTTATTATTTGTAGCTGTTAAATAAAGGTACGGCAGCTCCAGATAGCAGTATTTCATCACAAAAACAACTCATTAAAAATTTTTTTAGGAAGCGCTATCTGAACATGGACGTATTTAAATATTTTCTTTTCCCTAAAATTGATTTCAGAAGAGACATTATTCGCGCCAAAATTTGATTCCCGTATGGTAAACGCTTATTGGCTAATAACATGACAGGTCAAGCAGACGTTAGATTATGTAAATTAGGAGGCGGTTGACTGCTTGTTAAATAAATGTATCAGGCGTTATTTTTTTTCCCTCTCGAGCCAAAGAAGCAAAGAAGCAAAAAAAAAAAAAACGCCCGATCTCAGGTTATTTCATCTACAACCAAGTACATCTGCATCTGAGAGCTATAGCAGATACCACTGACACCCTTCACCAATTACAATCATTGGGGGTGGCAAGAGTTTGCTGAGTTTATAATACACCGACTCTCACCCGATTAGAAATAAAGCAATTTCACTGTTTATTAGCCTGCGGTCATCCTTTATTACACCCATTTCCTTTTGACAATAATCAGGAAGGTAACTTAAAGTGAACACGAGACCGATGCAACATGATTGGCTACCCATCCAAAACAATTTCATCAACGCAATACTCACCGGTATCAGATCCTATCCCTTTCTTCTTCAAGCCACTTGACTGGGTTTAAATTTACTCCAATCAATAAATATGGCTCAGCTTCCAATTTTAGACTCTCTGTTGAAACCCGCCCTGCCCAAATAAAAAATTTACTCTCTTTCTCATTCGCCCTCCCATCCCTTTCATTTTACGCGCCACTCTCCCTCGAACTACGTGCGGTTTTCCAATACTCGTATTTCTATTATATTTCGGGTGGCCTTATTCACTACCTTCTCTTACCAGCCTTGTTTGAATTCTCTTGCTTCCCTGTTCTCTAGGCCCCTTGTACGTCGTGGTAGAATACGCGGTTCATGGTGACCTTCGACAGTTCCTTCAAGACAGGAGACCTGGGTTAGAATCTGGGCCCCAGTCTCATGAAGTCCTCACTCTACAAGACTTGTTATCATTCTGTTATCAGGTTGCTAAGGGGATGGACTTTTTGTCGTCGAGAAAGGTAAATAATATGTTTTAAAGAACGAACCCCTGCTTACACGAAAAGAATATGGAAAAGCCAAAAGTACTATTCATGCCAAATGGATTTCATTATGTTCATTTGGGTCAGATTAATAATAAATAAATAAATAAATAAATAATGATTTAGAGGTACTACATCCACAAAGTGGTTCTTCGTCTAAATGTTGGGTTTTGAGGAGCGGGGAAAACCGGAGAACCCGGAGAAGAACCTTGGCTTGAAATGTTCGAGTTGGTATTGACATGCAAGCCAAACTTATAATACAGCTCGCACTTGAACCGACTTTTAGAGTCGCTTACTCTTTTATAAAAGTACATTTCTATTGTAAGTGCGCGATACGAGATGACAGCTATAAATTAAGAGTGCATCTGATAGTACTCGGGATAATGCCTACTTGAACTCAATAACGCAGTTCGTCCACTACCGGCCCAAGGTTTGTTTCACTACCAACCTTCTTACCCACCTTAATTCAGGAAAATTTATTAAGACATTCTCAAATTAACCTCCCAAGCTACTGCTACATATGTATTTCTTCTATAGCATCGATGAGGTTTGGAAATTCGATATTAAATTCGATATTAAATTTAAATGAAACGTTAGATTATTGTTAGACACAGTGTCAGTGGACTCTAGCACGAGAAAAAAGATGATTGTTTCTAATCAGCATCCTTGTATTTTAACAGTGTATCCATAGAGATATAGCAGCGAGGAATATTCTAGTCGCAGAGGATCGGGTTATGAAGATAGCTGATTTTGGGCTGGCGAGAAACATACGTGAAGATGACTATTACAGAAAAACGACCGACGTAAGAATGTGACAATTTCTATCTCGTGTTATCTTGTTAAAAACTTAAGGAACGAAAGATCTGATCATTGCATCTCCCTTTTACTAATTTCATTCAACAGGGACGCCTCCCTGTGAAGTGGATGGCAATCGAGGCTCTAATTGACCGAGTCTATACCACACAAAGTGACGTGTAAGTATTTATGGACACTAGAGTTGGCTTACTCGTTGATAATTTTCTGGATTTTCAGCTCTTGAAGGTCCATTTCCCCTTATTTCGATCTCATTACAACTTGTTTTAATTAGTAGTTGTTGTAAGGAGAAAGTACTGTATTATCAAGGCAGTCTATGTTTGGTGAAGACGTGATATATTTCTTTATGGCTGCTGTGAAATCACAAGAAGACCTTTAGTGCTTTGGTGCCAGCGGTTGTTCAGTGTATACTACAGTGTCCTGACTCGCACAGGCCTGTTTGGGGTTGGAGACCTATGTGAGTACGTCACAGAAAAATAAACGCACTCGCGGACTGCGAAAAATTTAATATGAAGAATTGTGAGTTCATTTATTTACCGCCAGCGAGTGCTTTTATTTGCCTGTGAAGCACGAAGGAGAAGTCGTTATCCCTTTTCCTATCTAAAGTGAGTGCTCGCATTGTAAAACCGACAATGCTGTACCTCTTCAGAGGTATCCCTTTAAACTGATTCCCGTACGTATTGTCCCACCAGTTCTCATTTCCTTCCTCTTCTCCGCTTGTTCTTTCGCTTTTTGGGATAACGCTGATATACATCTAACTGAAGACTAAAAAAATGACACCTTTTCATTCTCTGTTCTTCTAGGTGGTCGTTTGGAATATTAACTTGGGAAATTATAACTTTTGGTAGGTTTTACTTGAAGGTCTTAAACAACTTGTCATGAGGGTTACTAGGGAGTTTTAGATACCACGACGGCGACAGCGACGGTTGCGAAAACGTCCTTAAAAAGTAAATTCGCATGCTTTCAACCTTCATCGCGGTTATTCCAACTCGCTTTCTTTGTCAAATGAAGGCGAATTCTCCTCGAGTTGAATTCCCAGGAGCCGTAGAAGGAGCGAAAGAAAATTTCCTCGTCCCTTGTTTGCGTCCTTCGTAAACGTGAATTCAGGCGTTTTCACGATTTAACCCTCGGACGTACACGCAACTTCATACCCCCACCGTGGTACAAGGAGGGGAGGGGATGGAACCCCTCCCCGGAGCTTGTGTTGCAGTATTTTGAAACGATTTTACCTTTAGTGGAAAGCCTTTGATATTCTTAACAAGATGAGGTATATTTTATGGGTGGTGGCGCTGCTGGAGGCTTGTGACGTCACCAACAGTAGTCGCCATCTTGGCTGCCTTTAGAAATCAGTTTAAAACCGCGAGAAATGGAAGTTTTTTTTGTGCTTTACATGAACAATAACACCTAAAAACGCATTTTGCATGATTTTAGCCACAAGATTTACTTTATTGTTGAAAGAAGTTGAAAAAACATGTCTTTTGACCCAAAATTGGCTTAATCACGTGCTTATGACGTCATATCTCGTAACTATAGAAACTGACCATCACTAAACTCGTCTCGAAATCTACGTAAGGGATGAACGAACAGCCACTGAAAGCGTCAGGCGCTGATGTTTTATCCTCTAGGAAAAAACTCAGAAAAACCTTATTGGGCGGTGGCATACACCGCCCCCCCCCCCCCCCACCTCCCTCTTGAACGTCCGAGGGTTAAACCTATTGCTATTTAGACCTTCTCGCCGGTTGCCTTTGCCGTTGGTTTACGTGTTTTATGCTCAGAATAAAACCCGTCTACTGAGGAACACGATCCTTATTATACCCACCACAAGATATTCTCATGGACAAACGATCACAAGAGTGCATAATTCTGTCAAATATGAGTTAATATAAGTAATCCAGTCAAATACCAAGTGCTTTTTGAACACTACTTGCGTTGAAGTGTGCAACTAGTTCGAGTTGTAAATTTTTAGTGAAATCTGTGACTCTTCGTCCTCCTCTCTTCCCCTGAAACTGGTCGGTTTCTTTGCTAATCACAATACCGCTCTCTCTCTATCATTAAGGTGGCAGTCCATACCCTGGAATACCAGTGGAAAAGCTTTACTCACTGCTGAAATCCGGTTATAGGATGATTCGACCAATAAACTGCTCTAAAGAATTGTAAGTAATTTCAGACACCGAAATTATTCGCACGACTTTTGCGTGCATATGTGTTTAAAAAACCAATAATACCAATAATTCTTTGCGAAAATATCCATATAGCCATGTTGGGACTTTCTCTTGTCTTTATGTTTTGCTTTACTGAATCGCGCAAAATACATCTTCCGTTTCATAAAAAGGTTTTTGTCATTGTACACGGAATTTTTGTTTCGTCGTCCTTTTCTTACGTCATTGTCAAGTCGCACCTTATAAATGAGAAGCCTAAAAATTTATACGTTCCATGGACGATATGGTCCCCGAACGCGAGAACGCTTTTGATGCAAATGAAGCCAAAACACACGAAGCAACATAGAGATTGTTTGAGAATGTTTTCCGTAATTTGGCTTATGCTGTTCTTCATTTTTTTGCCCTAGGTATCAGCTCATGTTGAACTGCTGGAACGAAGCAGCTGAAAAAAGACCAACATTTCCTGAACTTGTGCGTTCCTTCGATGCAATGATATCATTGGTTTCTGACAAGGTAAATGCCTCGTTAGTTAAAGTAGCATTGGTTAATAGTTGATAAAGTACAATCTACGGAGTTAATCGGCATCGGCATCATTGGTCTTGAAGATTAAATCAGTCATGTTAACACCAGTAAGGTCTATAAACCACCTGGTAGTTTCACTATTTTCATATCCGATGCGGATTCCCCAGTCAGTGTTGGGCGGGTAAGTTAATTAGGTAAGTGTGTGAGTGCTATTTGTTCTCCGATCGAATATGCCATTTGCAAGATGACATCATTTTACTACTACGACCAGAATCCTTCAGGGTTTTGCTTTCTTGTGCAAATCAAGGCTTTTGTTATTTAAACCTTACTGGGATTACTAAATTTTGATATGAAAAGAAAAAGTAGTAAAATGACGCCATCATGCAAGTGGACTATTGGCGATTGAGAAGAAGGGGAAACAGTGCACAACCCTGAAAATAGCAAATCGTAGCTAGGAATACAGCGTCCAACCACAAAGATAATCCATATATGGGATCGCCTTCAGGTTATGAACTTAGGCCACACGTTAGCAGGGGTGGCGCAATAGTGAGAGCAAGAGCCTCTCACCAATGTGACCTGTTTTCGAGTCCCAGTATAAACTTTATATGTGGTTTGAGTTTGTCGTGGTTCTTTCCCTTGCTCCGAGAGGTTTTTCTCCAGGTACTCCGGTTTTCCCCTTCAACAGTTCCAAATTCAAAATCGATCTGGAACGCTCAGAGACGTTTAAACCTGGAGTTCTTAAGAACAACTAATTTTTTCGTGGGCGAACAAATTAGATTTTACAAATTTTTACACTTATGGGAGACGACTGTTATCTCCACAGCACCACCCTTGCCTAGAATCAAGCACTTGCAGGACCTATGATTTTGTGGTTATTTTGGCGAATGCTAGTGAGGAATATGCACTCTGAAACACACTGTTGTAATAATTCTTATTCGTCTTTTCAGGAATACCTTGACCTTCAACCGCCTCTGGTTAGCCCTCTATCCCCCAGAACGCCTTCGTCCTCCGAAGAGGACAATGTATTCGGAAGTTCAGAGCACGTTTGCGACTTCACAAATAGCAAGAGCGACAGTTTGAATAATCCCAACGATGACAGGTTCCATCATGGCTCAGAGGATACCGAGCATGACGGTGAAGACGGATACGCGGACATACGACAACACCCCGATGATGATCCTTTACTGGATTTCAGCGGAAGCAAAACTTCCCTTTCTTCTAAATCCTCGTTGTTCGCAAAGAGATCCCTTAACCAGCTCAATGGAAGCATTGCATCACTGTCTTCGCAGATGAGCAAGCAAATGAGAGCCATGGAGGATAAAGAGGGCGGCGACGGAGAACATGCTAGTCTATTAGAAAATGACGCTAGCCAAGGAAGCGACGAAGCGTTTGAAACTATTGAAAATGTAAATCCGAGAACTGGCCCAACAATATCAGAAGAACCATCAAAGTCCTCGGACGGTGTCCTGGAGACAAGCCTGGATTCCGAGGAAATCGACCCAGATGTTTTGATTAAGTACACACCTCCAAAAAAACCAAATCCCCCAAGGAGACCTTCTCAGCAGACAGAGGTCTAAAACTATTTTTTTTTTTAATTGTCAAACAAAAATTTTGAAGGCCACACCTCAAAGTTACTCCCACTGGCAGTTCTTTAACCTCATTTTAAGGTTCTGTGGTAAGGCACTCGTTAATTTTATCAAATGCTCTCTTGGGAGTTTTACTTTCTTGTGCTGTGAGAGCCAGTTTTCTGGCTTGAGAGAAATAACAAAGAGACCAAAGATAACAATTGAAGCCTCAATATCCAAATACTATTTCTCCAGACTGTTCTCCATGCTGACATTTTCATAAGAAGAATTAGTGGAGAAAATTGACAATAGATCAAAGCGTTTTGATGGTCATTTTGTGAATTTTCTTAACCTTGTCTCTTGATGGGTATGGTGGATATTGTTAGGAGAAAACTGATGTTGGGACCTTTCGAATAAGGACAAGGACAATTTAACGGTCGAAAGCATCACAAGAATTTGTCATTTTCACTAGGTCGACATCACATTATTTATTATAAAGGGTACTCGCCTCTACAACTTGGCTGACTCAGTCTTTAAGGCGAAATTACTAAACGGAGAGATTCTTTGAATATGAAAGAAAATTGACAGGTGTAAAGTCGTTTAGCTTGTCAAGATTATCTTGTAACTGGCCTTACTAAGTAAATGTTTCACTAAGGAAAAGGATGTTTTCTAAAAAAGTTTTGTAAATAGTCCTATCCCTTTTCATTAACATCTCTGTAAATTGAAGAGATACAGGTTTGGGTACCGGGTACTAAGTACCATGAAAATGTGAAGTTGGGAGCGCAGAACTCGCCACGCGCATGCTCCCTTGAAAAGAGCTATAACTAAAACCAGGTATAAATTATTCTATTGATGTAACTCGTCAAGTCATAACCTCAAGTTTAACGAAGGTTGGTTGCTAAGCAACAAATGTTTGAAATGTTTCAAAATCGAATTTTTTTGCGTAGTTTCATTTGTTAAAGGAAATATTTTTTTTCTTGATATTCTTTTTTCTATATAAACTCAAACGTATAGTATTAAATGTCTTGTTGCTTTAGTCGACTCCTTCCTTGTTAACACCTCACTCTATGGGAAAGGCATTACCCTACCGTAACCTGCCTCCTATAACCCCCCTCCCCCCTCCAGTTATAGAGTGTTTTCACATGACGTCACGGCGGCCATATTGGTGTCCTAAAACAATGAAATGGCGGCCATGTTGGTGTCCCAAACCAGTCCGATCCTAATACCACCCACGCTATAGTGATTTGTCTGGTAGAAAATGCTATCTACGCCTTGAGCAACTGGGACCTGAACTCATTATTCCACTTTCTAAAATATCATTGTTTAGTTCATCTTCTTTACAATTTCATGATTCTTAGCACATCGTTTGACTCGAGTCTTAAATCCTTACTCACTTTTAAATTAAGTTGATATGTACTCTTGTATCAGTCAAAGCTACTTGTTTGCCCCTTGGCCTCGCAACCGAACTATTTAATGTAGAGTACTTCAGTTTACATGTTTTGAATTAAGACGGATCGGATTTACCATGACAATTTTTCAAATACTGACCATATTCTCCAAAACGTGGTGAAAATCATGTTTCTGGTGCTGCCACTAAATATATTGAAGTATTTGATTCTATAATTTGCACAATTAATTGCAGTTTCCTGATCCGACCTCACGCAACATTCCTTGAACGCTCTCCAAACAATTGCTTCGTCGGAGACCAAGTTAGGACCAGTTAAAACGCCGAACTTTTCATGTACCGAACTTATCTATTGGATCGACCCAAACAATGTAAGGTCGACGGTTGACTCAAACGTCGAATTCTGGACGCCCAAAAACACCATAGTAGCGTAGATCTGTTTACCTTAGGATGGGTGCCATATTACGTTGAGTCTGATATTAAAAGATGCTTGATAGCTTACAAAAGAATTAGTGGTGCTTACCCCGATCATGATTAAATAGGTGAGCTATTAGAACTAAACAGCAGCCAGCATAACAGAAATACACGAAATGCCAATCTTAACATGTTGCCTAGAAGATACAATAGAGCGAACGAGGGTGGACGCACATAAAGTTCTCTGTGACAAATTCTAAATGTAGGAATCACCTTCCGCTTAAGATTCGTTCCTCTTCATCTGTAAATATTTTAAAGAATGTTTTATATAAACAAATTAAATTAACCCAGTTTAGGGAAGAATTTTTACTCCCTTTCTAGATAATAATTTTTAGATTATGCAGTAATATGGGCTTATCCTTTACTTTAGCTGTTATATCTTAATCACTTAAGTATTCCTTTTGTCCTGTAATATATAACTAATTAAGAGGACCACAAGTTTATTAGTTGTCTAACTATTTAACAATTATTCCTCGAGCCCGAATGGGCTCTGAGTAAATAGGGCTATTGACTCAGAGGCCATGAGGGCGAGACTTGAACTTTATTATTCGGACTCAATTTTACGATGTACAATGATCCGCAATGCTTACCAGACAAAATAAATTACAGTAATTTTTGCATTATATTCGGCATATAGAAAGTTCGACGTTTGAAACGAAGTCATTCCGCAGTCAAAATTCTCATGAGGACCACTAGAACATAATTGATGGGTCGACGACATGTCCGACTTAATTGATTTAGACAACGTTCTCTTCTTGTATTTAATTGAAGGGATTAGGTTCGGTAGATGAAAAGTCCTTTAAACTGGGCCTTAGTAGACAGATAGCAGACAGGGGAAGGATGACCACTTTTAGATTCCACTGACAAATTTCAGAATCCAAAAATGAGATTTGCCACCGTGCCTCTGCTGTCAAACTCTGCAAGGAGGCAAACACCGATTTTTATATAAATTGGTACGCGATGCGTGGATGTGATTCTAGTGGTCCATTTCTTTATTAATGGCTAAGGGTAAAAAGTAAGTATGAGCTAACTTTGTTTAAAAAGGGCGACAATTGAAAGTTCCAAGAACCGACAAACATGTTGCCCTCTAGTGCCCCGAACTAACTGGAGACACTTTCCAAATTTAAGAGAGGGAGAAAACCAGTTCATGGGAAGACAGATTACCTGGAAAAAGGCTCTTAGAGCAGAGACAGGTAACAACAATAACTCAACCCGCCAAGCGTCGTCGCCGGGCCTTGAATACCGGCCGGCATTTGGTACGAGGTGAGGACTCTCACCACTGCGCCCCTCTGTTTCCCCAATTCGGATTAATGTTAGTTCGCTAATTGTCCTGCACTTAGAAGTAACTGAAATCAGTTACAATGCTTCTAACATTATATGTCATGATTTTCGAGGTTCTTTCAACGCTGGGAAAAATTTGCAGCATTCAATGAGACAGGGAAATTCTCACCGTTCCCCGTTTGACTGTAACCCCGTTTCAAAACAAGACAATTTTAGAGCGAGCTACGGTTATGCAACTTATTTTGAAACTCAGTACCAAGTTTGGTCGTACCTCTCACTTTCCTGGAGGAAAGTTTTGAAATAAGGACACAAGCAATTCATTCAGCTCAGCAAAGCAATTTTATTATATATAAAAACTCTATGCAACTACAATACAAAATATTAAATAGAGGTTTTAAATATTAAGGCTACCTTGTGTAACCAAAGTACACCAGAGCAATCTCAGAAAATAACAGTTTGTATTCAATATGAATAATAACCAATGGTTCTTTCAAAGGAGTAAAGTTAACAACTTTGAATTCTGAGTTTCTATAAGAAGTTTTTTTTATCAGCTAACTATTTAGTATTAATATTATAATACTCCAGTTCCCAAAAACACTGATCAACTTAGTTAAATTCATGGGAAATTTTTTTCTTAATCTAAAGGCAGATACAGTTGTAACTTTTGAGGCTGTAGCAAACTTTTGGAATTAAAGCTATGGCTATTAAAAAGAAGAACCTGCTTCCGAAATAAAATGCTTTCTTTATGGAAAATAATAAAGAAATAAAAACGTTCAATTAATCCTTTTACAATTTTTTCTCGTACTGTAGTCACACTTCGGCTAAGTGGCCTTGCATTGGTCAATAACGGGTGTAATAACCTTAGTGTTAAAGCAGTTGTCAAAACCAGATATGCCTCTACTGAGCTGGTTGAGGTAATCTAGCAAGACGAAGTTCCTTACGCGTACAGCTCTGGCTCTAGATGGAAGACTCTAAGTGAAAAAAACGAGACATAACATCGCATTATATCATAATGTTGATGGTATCTGACAAACGCTTTGAGTAATTAACGATTATTCCACGAGTGCCCGTTGGATATGAATTGATTATAATCATGTTTGTTGGCAACAAACGCGTGCAGAATAATTGTTTTATTAAAAACGTCGACAAAATATCGATAATTCTTCCCACTTTATTTGTAAAAACAACCGATTTTTAGCTTGTTTTTAATTTTGACGCGTACAGTTACCATATTTGGAGAGCATAGTATAATGGCTAAGCCAATCAGAGCTCTGGAATTGTATTATCCACTGATTCAGTTTTTAATAAAAGGTATTATTAGGAAATCGATCAGTAATTATCCTAGATCCGCCCTGAGAAATTATTCACCATTTGCACATCTCCCATAATACACCTTGTTTGCCCTCAAAAGTTTCATTGTATAACTTCTGTTTTCCCTTTCTCTTGAGTATGACAGTTGTCCCATAAGAAATTGAAGACAATGCTTATGCAAAATTTACGGAGGGCAAACAAAGTGTATTGTGGGAGATGTGCAAATGGTAATTTAGCCAAATACTGATCAGCATTTCCCCAATAGCGATCCCAGAAACACTTGCGAGACGCATTTCGGCTCCATTCCCTTCTTGTTTCAAAAATAGCGTTAAATCACAGCAGAATCTATAAAGAATTATCGATAGTCAAACGCTTGGTATTTGGTTTCTCGGAGCCTGCTTATGAACAATGATCTATCATTTTTTATGTTATATCTTTTCAATTTACTTTACCTCTGAGTAAAGTCATATACTAGTGAGTGAATAACGGTTTAAAAATCGAAAGTACTTAGTAAAAGGGTAATCAATTTTGTCCGTACAGCAACTTTCATAGTTCTACACGCTAATGAAGGCATCCTAAATCTCTTTAAATATTTTGGGATCAAACATTACTTACCGGCATTTTTTTAATGACAAGAGAGGTCATCCTTGTCATATTCACCGGATGCACATGCAAATTTGTCAAGTTGTTGTGAGTCATTATTTGACTGCGTTGCACCTAAAGAAGCAAAAACACGACGAGTTATCAACTTAAGTCTCGATAACCAATAGCAACGAAACTATTAAGTAAGTACATTTACAGAATACAACGAATTATCAGCGAAGCCTCTTCCAAATATATAACAAATAGCTAGAGAAAAATTTAAGAAAATTTAAACACATTTTTTTTATCTCTTTAGCCACTTGTTCTGCTTTTATTAATGTTCGTTGTATCCCTCATTTATTCGTTTTCACTTTAATACTAACATTTACTTAAACAAATCCTCTTAATAGACTTTTCACGAAATGATGCACAAAAGAGATTTTCTGCTTAGGATATTGAAAATACATTTTAATGTATTTCACTATTTAAAAAAACTAACTGTCTTAATAGACATATAGTCAACTACAATATCGCACCATCTGAAATAACAATAATAACCATATCAATGATGGAACTGTGTTATATTAATGATCTAATATCATAATCTTTGTGAATTATTCTTGTTAGAATAACAGAAAGCAAATAATTGGTGTAACTTTCTTAGCCACGACTTCCTACTTAATTGTTTTGCCACGTGCATGTCTTAAATTATTTGGGCCATAGTTT